ATATATATATATATATATAATCACTTTGCCTCTAGTCGCCGAATGTTTTTTTAGAGACCTCACAGTTGCTGAATCAAGGCCCTGCATACATTCTGACTGGACAGACGCCCGATAATAACTAAACACCATCGTTGGTAGATTGAATGCAGAGTATGAATGTGGACAAATGTGGACTAGCGCCGTGGCAGAGACGATAGATGGCAAATTGTTATGTGATCTGTCCTGATTGGTCCTGGAAGAAGGCATATGGTGTGAAAATGCATGCAACGCAAAAGACACAATGAAAATATGTACCAATGCTCGAGTCAGCTGTGGAAATTTGAGGCGGCCCAGGAAACTGCAGGTAATGGCGAAATAGGGAAGAGGAGAAAAGTCGGTAAAGGTCGGATCGTCTATATTCAACCAAATGAGTAATAATACTGGTGAGTTTAATGATGATTAAGATGTCATTAACAATAGTTGGTGTAATAAATCGTGTGAAGCTACCTTTTGAGGATTGCAGAGACAAAGAAATAAGACATGTCACTTAACTTCAAGCCGAATGGTTTACTCAAAAGGCTGAATCTTCCACGGAGATCGCCTTCCTGGCATATAATGGCATTGGAACGTCGCCTTCACAAATGGACGTGACAAAATTAACAATTCCCATGGTCTTAGTATCGAATTTTGGAGGTGTTGCCAAGACGTCGGTCAGATGGCAGTTATATGGAAAATGTAAATGGTGCAGAGTATGGAGTAAATGGGTATAATTGAGATGATGAAGATGACGCAATGCGTATAGAACATGAGGAGTGGACAGAGAAGGCAGAAGTTCCAAATGATGCAACTAACCCGGATGATGCATAACAGAATGTTGTACAGAAGTTGAAGAGGCTACCGACGTTACAGTTTGTGAAAATGATGCAGATCAAAGAGAAGATGGGATTGATGGAGATGTTTATTATCATAAATATGATGCAGATACTGAACAGGCTGCAAATAATGAAGATTAAGCAAGAGTCGAAAAGTTTGCAGATGGCACAGATGAGATAGAGAATGTTGATGACGCAGATCTTGAAAAGAATAGAAATATTGTAGATGGTACAGTTGATGTGATCATGGAGAGATTGAAGATGATGGCAATGTTACTTGTACATTTGAAAAAGTTGCGAATGATAAAGATGATGAAGATTATGGGAAGCATGCATGTGATA